GGGTCCATTTTGGGACTCATTCTGTTCAAGATCTTCAACTAATTAGATATTGGCATAGAGAGTATGCTTCTTAAGCTTACAGATTATACTAAGCTGGAAGGGGTTGCAACTGCTTCGGAGGATAGGGTCATAATTCAAAATGATCTGGACAAGCTGGAAAAATGGTCTGAGATAAGTAGGATGAAGTTTAATAAAGACAAATGCAAAGTACTCCACTTAGGAAGGAACAATGTGTTTCACACATACAGAATTGGAAATGACTTTCTAGGAAGGAGTACTGCTGAAAGGGCTCTACAGGTCATAGTGGACCACAAGCTAAATATGAGTCAGTGAGACACTGTTGCAAAAAGCGCAAACATGATTCTGGGATGCATTAACAGGAGTGTTGTGAGCAAGACATGAAAAGTCCTTCTTCTGCTCTACTCTGCACTGATTAGGCCACAGTTGAAGTATTGTATCCAGTTCTGGGCACCACATTTCAAGGATGGAGAAATTGGAGAAGGTCCAGAAAAGAGCAACAAAAATAATTAAAGGTCTAGAAAACATGACCTATGAGGGAAGGCTGAAAGAATTGGGCTTGCTTTGTTTGGAAATGAGATGACCAAGAGGGGACATGATAGCGGTTTTCAGGTATCTAAAAGGGTGTCACAGGGAGGAGGGAGGGAAATTGTTTTCCTTAGCCTCATTGATGATAGGACATGAAGCAATGGGCTTCAACTGCAGCAAGGGACGTTTAGGTTGGACATTAGGAAAAACTTCTTAACTGTCAGGGTGGCTAAACACTGGAACAAATTGCTTAGGAAGGTTATACAATCTCCATCGCTGGAGATTTTGAAGAGCAAGTTGGATGATCAGGGATGATCTAGGCTGTGCTTGGGCCTGCCGTGAGGACAGGGGACTGGACTCGATGACTTCTCAAGGTCCCTTCCATTTCTAGGATTCTATTATTCTAACTGTTGTGATTGAATGATTTTTTAGGTCAATGGAAGTGGTTACCGTTATCTGGAATTTGGATTGAGGAGGAAAGCCCTGGATCCTATAGAATTCAAGACCTCACCTATAAATTCTGTCCCCTCACCTGACTTGTCCTCATTAAAAACAAACCCAGAATGCAGAAGGACCAGATTTTAGTCATGCTGAGTTTTCCAACATGCATGGCTGCTTTGCCTGTGTCTTCCAGAATTTTTTGTTCGAGCCAGAACTGGAAGCAGGCTGCTCTGGACTTAGTCACATTTAAAAGGTCAGCAACCCTTCTTAAATACTGTGTTTGGAAACAGCCATATGAGGCCGGGTGTCCCTGGCAGCAGGGTGGCCTAATGGCTAGGTCCAGAATTAGGTGGCAAGATGGGGATACGTGACCCTGCTGCTGGTGCCACCGGCCTAGAAACTCCATCACACTGTGTTAGTAGCGTCCGTAAAGTTTGGGGCATGGTCCCAAGAGTTCAGCTTTCCCCCTTTGTTAGGGGTCTAGCAGGTTCCCCCCTTTATCCTATGGTGTGAGGTTAGAGGCTTACTTACTACAGTGGCTGATCAAGACCACAGGCTTCAGTTCCTGTCCTGCAGAACCATGCTCCTGTCTCCTTGTTGGTCAGCCCCTAATTGAGCCAGGCTCCTTCCCTTTATCCTCCCTCCAGGACTGGCACATTGGCTACAGATAAAGCAGGGCGGAGCTAGGTAGGCCAAAAGGCTTTGTTTAACCCCTGTGATGCCAGCCCCTGCTTCACTCCCTCACACCGTAGTATTCATATATGATGGGTAAAGAGAAGAAACAAAACATACAGCAATGTGTTAGTATTGATTATTGAAATGGTCAGTCCAAGGGGTGGGGGAGGGGGACTATGGAATTAATAAATTTTACAGATTCTAGACCACCAAATGATCAGTTTTCTAAATACATTCTTTTTTTCACTAAGTATTTATGCTCCACTGAAAGGAAAGGGGAGGGGAGCACTGTCAGAGCTTATACAGTATTTGCTGCTTTTTGTCATACTTTATGTTCACAAGTCCCAGAGAATATCAAAGTACAAGGACTTTAAACACTTTTTGGATAATTCCCCTGTAAGAATATTTCAACCACACTGGATTTCAATGCTAATATGTCACAGTTCATCAAGCAAAGTAGTAAAGGATTGCTTTTTAAATATCAGAGTCTAATTCTTCCATTTTCTCTTTGTGCTGTTCATTCAACACAGATTCTTTCCAGCAGTCGCTTTGTAGCCTTCTGGTCCCAGAGAATGTCTTGTTTTCATTTTAAAGATTCCCCAGTGCTTGGCTGGTGTAAAAATCTTTTCAACTCCGTTTGCTATGTGATGATCTTTAACTTCTCTCAGAGATTTTCTTTTGTCTAAGTGGAAATGTCTAAAACCTGGGGACAGACGAATCTTTCTCCCTTCAGAGGATTTATCCCCTCAGAGCATGCTCCATCTATTCTAGTCAAGATCTTATACTGAGCTCATCACATCTTATTTTTTCTACCTGTCTTCTCACCGGGCTCTAATAGCTGCTCATCATACACAGCATAATCTTCCATACTATTTATGTTACACATTTAGGCGCTGTCGTTTCCATAACAGCTACATAATCCAGTTTTTTCTCTCCTTGTTAGAATGCCTAAAGTTCTATTGTGGAATTGCACTTCATCTTATAGTAGTTTTTCTTGTCTTTCTTGCATGGTTTTGTTTGTAGTGAGGGTGGTGATATAGAATTAGAACAGAAGCTGTGTCTTCAAATCAGACTGTTTTTCTGATTATTCCATCTCATTTATGATATTCTCCTATATTACGCTGTATAGACATCAGAGAATTCTTGATGGTGCTTGTGCAGAAAGGAGTCCTTACAATATTCTTCTAAAAAGTGGTCCCTTTCTTTTAGCTCCTCTTTCATCAGTGATGCACCGTGCCTGTACTACCCATGAGATATTAGGCCAAGATTTTAATAAGTCCAATTGGTGGATTTTGTTTAGTTTTGCCCCACTAGGGACTATTGCCATGGTCTTGGGGAGTGAATAAGAATAAAAATATCAAAGAGTTATGAGGTTTGCATTTCTATTTTTTTAAAGGAGTTTTAGTTGTTCAGAAAATAAAGTATACCCAATCTGGTTTTTCTGGCTCCTGCTCTATACCTCACTACTGCATATTTCCAAATTGTTCCATGCCTGTCCAGAATCCCATCATTGATTTAAAAAGAAATTAAGTCTGCAAAGAAAATCTTTAAAGCATAAAGTGAATGTACCAACAGTTCCGTTCATCTGTATAGCATGTAAACATTGTTCTCTGATGTCAGTTTAAAATGTTGACAATTATTTTATTGCTGATTATTCTAGTGGAAGCATCCAGGTAACATACTTATTTATCACTATTGGATGTAGAAGTAACTGCTTTCAGATTTCTGGAGTGTGGCGGAATGAGAACTTTAAACCTCTCCCCCTCACAAGCTTAGGGTACGTCTACACTGCACAGCTATTTCGGGATTCCGAAGGTATCCCAAAATAGCTATCCCGCATCTACACAAGCCACCCATTATTTTGAAACATTTTTTGAAATAATGGGCATGTTATTTTGCCATCCTGGTAAACTTCACTGCACAAGAGATAAGGGATGGCTCAAAATAGCACATTATTTTGAAATTCAGCACTGCGTAGATGTGCTAAGTTTCAAAATAAGCTATTTTGAAATAGATTCGAAATAAGATACGCAATTTGCATAGCGCAAATTGCTTATCTTATTTTGAATTTAGGGTGCTGTGTAGATGCACCCTTAAAGTCTCTTCTGCTCTGATAAGTGGGAGAAACCTATTCCTAGTCCTAAATTGTTCAGTTGCTTCCTTGATAAGAACATAAGGGTTTCCTGCTGGGAAGAATGGGGTTGCACTCCAGCTGAAAGAGAAGGGATAACTCTTCTGGCAGAGGGACAGGAGCAGCCTGACAAGGGGCCCAGGTGTGGCTAAAAACATTGCAGTGTGGTATGTTGGGAGTGAGGGACTAGATTGAGGACTACATATACTACAGGTGATTGATAAGTGGACTATGTTTTGGGACTTATTATAGACTATCATTGTTGTAATAAATTGGTGCCAAGAAGAGACATGAAAGCTTGGCTGTAATTACTGGGGACTCTGAAGGAGGAAAACTAAGGCAGGCACTGCCTGCTTGTTCTGCTGTGGGAGAGTAGTCCAGGTAGGGTTAAACTATCACATTGCCAAACCTGCAACCTAGTGAAATTGGTGGGCAAGAAGAGAGAAAGGCCTCTGATAGGATGCTGAGGGGCTCCCACCCCAATCGCAAATAGGTGTGATATTTTCTATGGAAGCTTCAGTGCTGCATGCTATGAAACAACCCCCTACATGCTGAAAGCTCTGTGTACACTTCTACTCTTTCTCTGGCCAGAGCACATCAGCTTTCCCCTCCCCAGGAAGTCACCATCCAGTATTCTCCAGCCACACAGAAATTATTGATATTCACCCTGTTATTCTTTTTCCCCCCCAAGGGAGAGGGACCCTATCTTCCTCTCCTATACTGCAGAAATGAGATGTGTGGAAGGGATGTTGGAAAGAATAACCAAGCATTGGATTTTGCATGTGCAGCAACAAAAAGATTTTGCAGGGGATCTTAGGCCAGCTGTAACAGGCCTTGCTTCTCCATCTCCAACATCTCTGAAAGTCTTGTTCTTTCTTATCTTTTACCACCAAGCCAACCTCCTTGCACACTTCTCAAGCTTTAGCAGCACAGGCAAGCATTCTATCTAAAGAGGAATCTACCTGCCTTTCTTTTACCCACTTTTTTCAATGGTGCCATCCCTCAATGCTTAAGTTCTTGCTCCTGCTGCCCACAGTCTCTACAGTCCCTTTCACTTAACTAGCAAAGGGTTTCCTAGCAGGTGCAGCTGCAGTCTAAGCCACTGCTACAGTTAAAGCTATCTATGGAATGGGTGAAAAAAGTGCTTAGGGAGAGGGTGGGATCTAGTCTGTACAACTTCCCCTATGGGGCCTTTGTAATCAATTACCAGACTCTGGATGGATTTCTCTGCTGCTCATCTCTGATCAGTTCCTGCTCCTGGTTGGGTTCTCCCTGCTGGAAGCTTCAGCTCCTTGATT